GTATTTCCAATATCAGATACAAGTTTGAGGAGTCATTGAACTTTTCTCCTGTTGAAAATAGGCAATAGTAAATAAGCCTGTGATTACTTAAAGTGTTGTCTTCTGGCCCCACTTGCTCTTGAGCCTCTGTGCAGGTTTCCGTCAGCTTGACAGGCAATCATAGGAGCACAGACTGCTTTGAGTTGGAAAGGAGCTTCAATCTCATCCAGCTCCAACCCCTGCCACGGGCAGGGACCCCTTCCACTAGAGCAGCTTGCTCCAAGCCCCTGTGTCCAACCTGGCCTTGAGCACTGCCAGGGATGGGGCAGCCACAGCTTCTCTGGGCACCCTGTGCCAGCGCCTCAGCACCCTCACAGGGAAGAGCTTCTGCCTAAGAGCTCATCTCAGTCTCCCCTCGGGCAGGTTCAAGCCATTCCCCTTGGCCTGTCCCTACAGGCCCTTGTCCCAAGCCCCTCTCCAGCTTTCCTGCAGCCACTTTAGGCACTGGAGCTGCTCTAAGGTCTCCCCTTAAGGCACCTTCTCTTCCCCAGGCTGACCCAGCCCAAATATCTCAGCCTGGCACCTTCCTCTCCTTCACTTCACACTGAGGTGCCCTTTGTGGTAAATTGGTTTAAATTCCATCTATATAAAACTTAACTGCCCAATTTTAATATATAAAAAATGCAAAGGCATAAAATATCTTATTAATATTAATTTTATTGCAATATTAAAATACTTCTCTTTGAATCCTTTTCATTAGGCTAGCAGACAGTACTAGGAGTGGCTGCCTGGTGCCGTGCTGCAGGTATTCCCTGGCTGGCCATATTGCTGAATGCATACTGGTAACTTGATTTCCTTCCGTGAATAGTGTCTTTTAAGTCAGAAATCTGGCTGTGCAGCTTTTAACCAGTTTTATCTGCTCCAAAACAAATGGCATCCAGTCCCATAAGGTGAGGTTTGCAACAAGAAGTGGAAGAGTTTATTTAGCTCCTATTTCTATAAAAGAACCTGTACTTAGATTATTGGTTGAAGTCTGTAGCTCTTGTTCTGTCAATTCTGATGTGCGCTACTCAGTGAAAACCTTTTCAGAATTATAAACTGGAGCTAGAAAATGAAAAAAATAGAGTAATTAAAGTATAGCACCTTTTTGGAAAACAGCCTGTAGAAGAGAGAATTAGACAGCAGTTTCTAAAATATTTACATTTCCAGATTCACTCAACCGTGCTCTCTCTTTCCTATTTTTGAAAGCAAGCAGAAGGAAATCACTCTTTTTCATTACCTTGGTTTCTTGCCCTTCAGCTATTACGTGAATTGAAAGTGGAAAAAAAGGTCTTGTCTTGATGTTAAGTAACCTTGCAGACTTTAATTTGAAACAAACAAAGCATTTAAAGCAGTTCTTCTCTGGGGGATTGTACTGAGTGCTACTAAATTGCTGAATATTTAATACCTAAACGTGTTCTAGACCCTGAGGTCTGTCCCCCAAATGATAAGCCTTTTTATTAAGTGAACTTTAATTGCTTAATAATTGGGTCTTCTGTAAGGAGAGATGGGAATGCTGATAGAATCTGCCAACCAGACTGCGTGCTAAGTCTGAGTTGGGTACCGCTTTCAATTAAGTTTTCTGAGTAGGTCTGGGTGTATCACAGGGAGGTGCATCTGCAACCCTTTGGTTACAGAGCGAAGCATCACCAGGGATCTGCAAGCTTAAGCTTGTACTTTCCAAAAAGCAGAGCGAAGCATCAGACTGCAATGTTTAATTCCAGGGTCTGTCATGGAAAGTGACTTTCTCAGAATGTATTTGCTGGTCTGCTCCCTTGAGCCAGCTCCTGACAACCCAAGCATCTGTGTAGCATCAAAAAATGCCTTTAAAATAAATCAGCGTAGGCCAGGAGAGCTTTAAAGATCTAGTGGTAGTTTTAAGATCTCATATTTTATGGTCCTGCAGGGAGATGAATGAGTTTTGAACATAACCAGGGAAAAAAGGAGGTTAGTATATTTTCATTTGGACACTGTAAACAAAAAATGTTGGTTTTCTTTTCAGCATCTTGATCTGTTATGCATAGATTTGATTATGTTTTTTAAACTTAAAAAGAGTTTGAATCTCTACAGAGCTGCCTTTTTTGCAGGTACAGGGCAAAGCATGAGCTGCCTGTGTGCAGGTATGGTGCTGGTGTAGAAAAAGTTGTCCCTCTCTGGCAGTTGTTTTAGTCTAGTGTTTTGCAGTAACTTGTTAGATTTAGCCATCTTTCCTCCTGGAAAAATCTGCGGTTATCAACAGCTTTCCATCCCTGTTCACATCGTGTTTGTCTTCAATTTTTATATATATATTTTTTTAATTATTATTTTTTTTAATTAAGGTGTTGAATGCTTGTTTTTCCATCTTGCATTAGCTTTGCTGGGGGTGAATAGCTGTTAACAGTACATCTGTGACAATGGCTTGGCAGGAAAGTAGCATCCCCACTGTAACGGGGAGGCATACAAGGGTGCAGAGTGTGACAGGGCTTGCATGGATGGGACTGGGGACAACTGTCTATTCTTCTCTCCCTTTTTTCATAGGGACAACTTGTGAGCATGGCAACTGGGAAATATTGCCTGTACAACAGTAGATTGATCTAAGCTCCTCTTCACATGTGGAAATGCCATTAGGAAGCCTTTATTGAGCCAGTTCCAGTTTAGTTAATGAATCTCCCTGCCTCAGTTCATGGCAATCCAGGCTTTGAGACCTCATCCGTGCAGAAGCTCTTTAAGACAGGAGCAAAATATTTGTGAAGAATGGATGTAAGAGAATGGGGCTAAAATCACAACGGAAAAAAGTGTTTGAAGTGAGCAATGAACGGGGGCTCCCACTCTAATGCTTTTTCCAGCGCTTGATCATTCCCCAGGACACTGATTTGCTTCATATTTGTGTGACATTTTAGTGCCTAGAAAGTTGAGGTCATTACTCTCTTCTTCAGCTTCTTAATAGCCTCTAGTGCCAGCTCCTTTTTGAAATGCCTAACCCTGGAAGTGTTCATGGTCAGGTTGGATGTGTCACTGAAAGTAGGCAGAATAAAATTCCTTAATTCCAGTGTAGCATTAAGAAGCAGGTATTATTTATTACAGCAGTGGATATATGGGGGATAGCTCCGTTTAATGTGCATGCCAATTCTTACAAGTTTCTTGCTTATAAGCATTTATCTCATACATGCACATTATAATTCCCAGAAATCTTATGTGTGTTATAAATTCTTCCTAGAACATAGGTTATCACCCACTATGCACAGTTTATTTTGAGTGAGGGTCCCATGGTCCTTTGGACCCCTGGTACTTGTATCTTTGTTGACCTTCAGTTGAACTTCTCTTGATATATTCCTTTTACGGTCTTAGGTTGGCCTCTCCTCTGAGTTTGTGAGGAATGGTTCCCTGTTCACTGAGCTGGAGAGGCACTTTGTGAAGAATGGTTCCTAGTTCAGTGAGCTGCATAGGTAAAGAATGTTCTTTACCTTTTGTCTTGTTCCTTGTTGACATATATATGGTTTTGTTCAGCTAAAATTTAACTTGGTTTGTCTCAGGTAGTAAAATGACCCCTCTTCTGTCAGACGGAGCTTGGAGCAACATGATCTAGGTGGCGGGGGGTTGGAGCTAGATGAGCTCTAAGATCTCTTCCAGCACAAACTATTCTGTAAAAGCCTTCACTGAATGCTGGCTGACATAATCAAAAAGATACTTCTTTCCTATGTACTTTGTGGTGGCTTTTAGTGTCATCTTTCAAGGTATTCACTGTGTTGGACACTTGGTGCTTGTTTGCACATGCTTCTGAGTGACTGTATTTACTGCTGTGCCTTCAGATAGTCCCTGCAGGCAGGTGAGTGTGCCCAGGTGGTCTGGGAGGCTCACTTCTAGAGATTGGCCAGGACAGAGCAGGTCCACAGGATATGTCCACATCATCTGTATCACATTGCTGATCTAGTCATTTCTTGTCCTTCTCGTATTTGGCCGGACAGAGAGCTGGTGGTTTCTTTCCCTTTTCTTCGTCATAGAATCCCAGACTGGTTGTGGTTGGAAGGGACCTTAAAGCTCACCCAGCTCCAAGCCCTGCCACGGGCAGGGACCCCTTCCACTGGAGCAGCTTGCTCCAAGCCCCTGTGTCCAACCTGGCCTTGAGCACTGCCAGGGATGGGGCAGCCACAGCTTCTCTGGGCACCCTGTGCCAGTGCCTCAGCACCCTCACAGGGAAGAGCTTCTGCCTAAGAGCTCAGCTCAGTCTCCCCTCGGGCAGGTTCAAGCCATTCCCCTTGGCCTGTTTACAAGTTTATCTGGTTACTTACAAAGCAGTGATGCTTCCAGATAAAAGTTCATGACCTAGACATCATCTTTCACTTGCATTTTGAATATGGCAGAATTGTCGGGCTTTTCTTCTCTACCACGTGAAGGACATGGTCCTCATGATTTTTGCACTGAGTGAGAAAGGGGCACCTGGCAGTTGTGCAGTTAAAGCCCCAGCTCTCTTCTCCTGCTCTCCTGAGTCAAAAATGCTTCATGGAAAACCAGACACTGGTCATTCCCTGATTAAAGTGTTTTGATTGCGTCACCTGAACAACTTATTTATCAGAGGTTTTTGGAGTATTTTTCTTTTCATTTGAAAGGAAGGAGAAATACAGCAAGATGCAACTAACATTTTCCTTACCTCATGTAGCTTTACTTGTGCTTTCCTTTGAATGCCAGCCTGTTCTGAGCAGTTTGGATTGCATGATAGCGTAACTGTACTCTTAAAGTTGTTCCTAAGTGGGTTCAGGCACAATTTGTTACTCTTTATGTTGCTAACACATCTTTTCTTTGCTATTAATGAGTGTCACTTACAAAGGAAAGTGTTAGTCACCCTGCCATTATAGCAATCTCCAAGTGGTTTTCTGAATGTCATGTAAATTTTTTAGTATTTTTACCCTGGATTGTTAACAAAATCCAAATCAGCATGGAAACAGCAGGTAACTGCAGTTTTCAGCATCTATGTAATTGCTTTTTTTCCACTTTGCCTGTGTTTGCAGGACCGCTGAGGTTTCTTTCCCAGACGGAATCTGTCACGGCATTTGTAGGAGACACGATTCTGCTGAAGTGTGAAGTCATTGGAGAGCCCATGCCCGTTGTGCACTGGCAGCGAAACCAGGAGGACCTGTTCCCGAACTCAGCCGACAGCCGGGTGGCTGTCCTGCCCTCTGGAGCTTTACAGATCAGCAGGGTGCAGCATGGGGACAGTGGGATCTACAGGTGCCTGGCGAAAAACCCAGCCAGCTTGAGAACTGGAAATGATGCAGAAGTCAGGGTTTTGGCAGGTAAGAACTGGACAATTCAACACTGCCTCTTTCTCTTGCCTGATCTGTTGTCCTTTGGTTCCCTGAAAGAGCGGTGACTTCTCCTGGGGAAGCTAGGCTGATGTATCTCACTTTCCCTCCAGCTATTTCTACAAGCTTCCAAATTCTATTGGACCAAGTCCAGAGAAGGCCTATAAGGATAAGGGGACTAGAAAACCTCCTATGCAAAGACAGGCTGAAAACATTGGGGCTGTTCAGCCTGAAGAAGAGAAGCTGTGTGGAGACCTCAGAACAGCATCCACTATCTGAAGTGGGCTACAAAGATGCTGGAGAGGGACTTGGGTGACATGGTCCAGAGGGAGGCATCCCTACCCTTGGCAGGTCATTTTGAACTAGATGATCTTAAGGTCCTTTCAAACCTTAACTGTTCCATGATTCCATGTTTCCTTTTCACATGGAAGAGCTTGGAGAACTTTAGAAACATTTGGGTGCAAGGGTGAGGAGTGGGCTGTAGAAAGTATTTGTGTCGCCTAGCTTCAAGTACTAAATTTAGGTATGTATGAAGCTGGTCTCTATAAATGGTTAATGGAGAGAGAGAAGTACTTCCCATCTCAGAATACAATAATTATTGTCTCAGAGAACTCTCTGGAAGAGTTTCTCTCACTCCATTGATTAGAAGACAATCTGTTGGGACTAGCTGGCTAGCTGCTGAATTTACCTAATCAAAGTTAGGTTGCTTGCACACTCCAGTACCTGCTGTGATCATCTGAGCTACCCAAAGCACAGCTTGAGATCTGACACAGTTTAGTTGTGGCAGATGATGTACCCAAATTCACAGCCAACATGCATCTTGCTCTTCCTCTTGATAAACTCATCAGCTAAATAGATTGTTACTGGCCATCAGAGCATAGGATCAAGAACTGAGCACCAGAATAGTGGTTTGAAGAAGGTGTTGCTGCAAAGCCTCCTTCTCTTCTACATGCTAACTTATAACCACTAATTTAATCAGACAGAGAGGTTGTGTTTTTAGAATTTTTTATAAATGCATTTTCTAGATGAATGTTTTTAGTTTGCCAGACTTCTCACTGAGAGTGAACTAAGCAGGATTCTCAGATTTCTGAGATGGTCTACCAGTGCTGTAGGAATAGGGAAGGCCAGGATCAGCCTTGGGGAAGTATCAATGTACTAACACAAGTGATCCTCATTTGTAGGATTTATAGCTCTGGGATTTATTGCAGTGGAATTTGGTGAAATACATGCTTTTGTCTGGGACTTGATGCCAAAAACAGAACCTACCCCTCAGTCTCTAAACCTACAACCATGTTCTCAGTAGCAAATATTGATCTTCTAGGAGCTGCAAAGCAAAATGCAAGCCAGAATAGCTCACAACAAGGGAAAACCACATCACCTGGAGTTCTCTGTGGGCTTTTCCCAATGTTTTTTTTTGCAACCAGAGCTTACACCTGATCTCTCTAGTGTCGACCTGTTCCCCATCCATTTGCTTGTCTAACAGGCTGCCCCAGGGTGGTTGCTCTTGGGGCTTCCAGGCTTACTAGGAGCCTTAGAGCCTTGTGCCATTTAGTATGCATTGGGCAGCACTGAGACATTCCTGTCTCTGTGGTTATTAATAGCAATGAGTTGTATGAGGGAAAAAAAATGTTCTTTCATTCCTCTTGATTAAAATTAAGAAAAGCACAAAACTTTGTATTTTAGACAGACCTAGGAGCTTTCTTTCAGCCTCCTCAGCTCCTCAGGGTATTGTTAATTTGCCAAGCATATACATTTCTGATCATTTGCGGATGGATTGATGTTTCTTCCTTATCCCAATTTTGGTCATTAACATCCTGGTTAAATGGCCTCTCTCAGGCTGTCTATAGGAGAGAGAGGAATTAATTTATCTCTTCCTGGCATGTTAAAATTTTATACCAGGGAAACACTGAAGCAAATAATGAGGAAAATATAAAACAAGGAACTAGTGGAGTCTGTCAGACTTTGGCTTAGGGCAAGCAGCACAAGGTCTCATTTCAGGATAATGTGAGCAGACAGCAGCTCTTAAAACAAATGAGTGCTGCTCCTGAAACAAAAATTCAGATCTTATTGAGCCTCTTGGGAATCTTGTTCTCATGTGCACGCTTTGATGGTTCAGAACTCTCCGATACTTTGCTGATAATTCTGCCTTTCCTATTTTTGCTTGTTGGTAGAAATGAGTCTTCCGTTGCAGCTCTCCTATACCATAATTAGTGGAGGCAGAATACTCTTGTTGGCCTTTTTCCCCTGGTTAGTAAGGAGAAGAAAAAAAAAAAAAAAAGAAAAAGCCTTAAATCCTATTCAGAGGAATAAGCAACAAAACAAAAAAAAAATAAGTTTAGGTAGTATATCATAATTCTGTATTTTTAAAATGCTGCTTCTTCCACAGACAGTGTTAGTGATTTATTTGAATACAAAGCATATCTGTCAGGATCTATGGTAAAACTGACCACAATCCTGGCAAATAATTTCTGATGTTCTCTATAGCTTCCAAAGGTAATACAAGAAAAAAGAATGGGGGATAAATATCTTTTGTCATTTAGTTTATTTAGTCAAAGAGCCTGTGGCTGAAATATTTGATCTGACATCATGGTGAGTCTGGAGTTTTCTGTATCTCCTCTTGCTAGAAAAATTGATCATCCAACATGAATACAGGTTAGAAAAACAAAGTATTTGGATACAGGTATTACCACTTTACTGGATAAAAAAGTGAAATTCACCCTAACAGACCCAAGTTTGTAGTTTAACCCGACATGTTAACGAAAGAATAGTTGAACCTTCAACCTCTGTACCAAAGAGGAGTTTTTTGTAGGCACTTAATGTGTTGGAAAGGTGGGGCAAGGCACTAGGCATGAAGTTTAATCTTTGATAACTAAAAGAGACTGGAAAAGTGACCATTTGCAAGCGTGTTTCCTTTATGTAGTTTGATTCTGCCTGGGGAGGCTCTGATAGGGCTGATCAATAAACGCATTTTACAAACAGCTCCAGCCTCACTAAATCCTCCATCAGAAACCATATACATGTGGGAGTACATGGGCCGTATGAGAGGAGATTTTGAAGAGTGTTTGTTAAAAAAGCCCCAGTGAACCTGAGCAAAAATTTTGAGGAGTTTTCAACATGTCAGGTTTCATCTATTACTGTTAATTATAAGAGTGGCTATTGCAGCTTTTTGCAGAAAGCTCATTCCAAATGCATATTTTTCAGCTTTCTAATTGAAGTGCTGTTGTTTTCTCTGGGGTCCAGAAACTTAATCCTGGCCAAAAAAGTGTAAAAAAATAAAGCAACAGCAAATACTGAAAATATGAGAAAATAGATATTCAGATAACTACATGTACTCAATTAATTTTGAGGAAATAATGTTACAGTACCAAAAAAAAAAAAAAAAAAAAAAAAAGAGGGGACAAAAGATCTTATACAAACCAGTACTGAGGAATTAATTTATAGAATTTATAATTCTATATATAGATTTCAATGCTTTTGTAAATTAATGAGTAAGTTTCTTTGGGAGTTCTGCACACTTCAGAAATACAGAGGGATTTTAAAAGGAAAAAATGAGTAGTTTGGTGCCTGAAAGCTATAAATTCTCTATAAATAATGATCTTGCATTTATCATTAGCTGTTCAGGTAATCTGCCACTGTACTCTTGTCTATTATGAAGGTTCCTTCTAGTCTCCGAGTTTGTATGCTGAGCTGCAGTGCAAGATAACAGTAACAATATCATGTAATTCCTTCATATTTAAGGCAAGCAGATCTTGGTTGCTGCTGTGTGATTCAGCTCCTTCCTCACTGTTGCACTTCTGAAGAGAGAAGGGTAACAGCAGCAAAAAGGACCAAATTGAAATGGATCTCATGAGAAGAAACTAGGAGTGAGAGGTTGATGGTTGTGTTTAAGGAACTGCATGCAACAGAAGTTGCCCCATGAGCTCAGGTTTGCTTTGATGCTTAAGCAACTCCACTTTTTAAAGTAAAAGCAGTTGTGATGTTGGGTTTATTTAAATATGACATCGTAGTGCTGGCAGAGTTTGGCAGTTATCACTGTCTTAGCCTGATAGAGAAGCTGTGGCTGCCCCATCCCTGACAGTGTTCAAGGCCAGGTTGGACAGAGCTTGGAGCAGCCTGCTCTGGTGGAGGGAGTGGAGATGGGTGAGTTTTAATGTCCCTTCCAACACAAACCAGTCTATGATATATGATTCTCAATAGTCGTGTTAGTACAGGAAGCATCTCATCTGAGGACATCCGATACGTTATATGTCTATGGGAAATGAAACACCTGGAATATACTGAGTGATGCTGTTTGGTCTGAGTCTGTTGTTCAATATGAGTTTTACAGTTAAACTTAGTCCTAAGGAGGGTCCGGCTAAGCGGAAACACAAATCTCTTCAAAGTTCAGCCACCAGGTTTTCACACCACACACTTCTATCAGGTACAGAGATAACTTACAAGAATTGTTCTATCTTTTATACCCTGGGAGGATCCCAGTGTGGGCTTACATTCCATTTTGGCCAATAGTTATCTAAGTTGGATTTTTAACTTATTCTTAACCTCGACAGATAGTGCTTATGAGTGTTTATTCTTTGATGAAAACAGATTTCCAGTAGACGTGGCTAATTTAAAATAAATACTGAACTTGTGATTTTTTTGTTTTTCTTTTTAAATCTAACCAGTTTCACATTTATGTTCTCCAGTGCCTATTTTCTGCAGTGGTGCTTGCCCTAATTCCAATCAGTACATATGGAAACCCAACCAAACAACAAGAACAAAATTACCACAAAAAAACACCATCAGAAACAGTGTTACCTCTAGGTGCACAAGTTGCAGGTGTGATGCACAATGCCAGAAGTGTTTCCCTTCACAGATGGTTCCAGACTGTGACATAAGCTGAACTCATTTTCTACCACATGTATTTTGATGCTCTTTTACCAGCAAGGTGATGCATGCAAGTGTGCAATGCCTCTGTTCAGAGCTGAGGATGCTCTGCAAGGCATTTCTCTTAC